ATCTCATTTGGCTTCAAAGATTCCACATCGATGATTTCCTCATCAGAATCCTAAACATTATTTTTATTCAAAAGCAAATATTTACTGAGTAGTCTGTGTAATTTTCAAACATGACAGCCAGCTAAAGGGCTAACACCCACTTGAGAATTTGCTTTGTCATCCACTTCCGCATCTTCATCTTCCAAATCGAACTCTCCCTCTTTTTCCTCGTACTTTGCATTTTCCTCTAGCTCAGTGAACTCCGGGGCAAATGCGGACCAATTTTCAACATGGGCCTGAAAGAAACTCATGGTTAGCTTTTCACAACTGATGACTACGGGTCTCAGGCAAGTTTGTGGGTACCTGCGTCCAAACTGAAACCATTCCATTGGCCACTGACAGTATGACTGGTCGAATTGGATGCCACTGCACATCCATCAAACACTCGCCCTGAACACGAGTAAAACTAAGATTTCTAGTGGAAGGATTTGATCAGAGAGAATCTTAGGAATTTATAGGAGCTACAAAATAACATCATAAGGTTTGGCTTTTGGCTTTTGGCTTTTTCTTCATTTCAAGCAGATCGCGGGCATTTTCAGGGGTTTGTCAAGCTATTCGAAGGCACTTTGAAGCTTTACACCTGACCGCAAATCGAGACCGTTCACTCACGGAAAGATGCGTACAAGCCCTTTATTAGAAAAAAACCTAAATGATAGAGCAAAATTCCATGTGAGATAAATCTGTCTCAGACAAATCCGCAAAATTCGGAGAAGGCGGTGAAATATTTAAGAGACGAATAAACCCAGTGAAAATTGCTCACCTTGGTACCATGCAGAATCTTTATCAATGTTCCCGTGGTGCGTTCCCAAACATACAGCGAATGAGCCTTTGTACTAGCGCCGCAAATATAATATCCTTCGCTATCCGTGCAAACGGCCTTCCACGATGCCTGTAAGAATAGATGGATGATTGTAACACTAAGCTTCACAACGATACAAATTTACCTTGTTGACGATGTCCGTAACCCGATGTTTCGGTTCTATAGTAGAGCCATTGTGGCAATCCAGGATATCGTTCAGATCGAATGTTCTAATTATGCGATCCTGCGAGTTGGTGATGATGAAGTTCCCTCTTCGTGGTACCACAATTTGCTTGACCTGGAGATGATAACAATTCTAGACGCAACAGATTAGAAAGAGATTAGAAAATTAGAATATAACAAAAATGTTGATTTTGTGATAGATCACCTGTTGGACACTGTTTTGTTTCCCCCATGACACCATCTTCAGCGTCTTAGCATTGTAGACGACAAGTTTTCCCTGGAA